GAAGTTTATAGCTTTAAATGCTTATATTAGAAAAAAAAAAAAAAATGTTAGAAACACCCAAATGAAATGGGCAATTCACATTGTAGAAAGAAAGGAAAAGAAAGGTACTAATTTCTATCAGTTTGTTTGTTTTTGTTTTTTTTTGCAGTGAGAGAAAGGAATTTATTGCATGGCACCAACCAAGGAGAATTGGGCAGCTAACACTTAAGATCCAAACTCTTCCGTGGCTTACAAGTGAGGGTTTTTTTTTTTTTTTTTGGGCTCTGGGATTTAAACCAAAACAAATACAAATCACTTATCCCACCTTGACTCAGCAGGTTATTGTATCCAATGGCACAATTTACTGCCACAAGAAAACCAGACACTGCTCCTATACAGATGGATACTCAGGACCGCTGGCATGGAGCAACTCCAACACAGCAGAGCTTTACTACACTTGTTCAAAGAGGCCTGGGGCAGGGTAGGATTCATCTTTTTAACCATTTGGCAATTCAAAAGTGATAAGGAAAGTGACAAAAAAATTTGTGACCATGAAATTAAGCCACACCTAGGACACTTGCAAGCCATTCTATTTCTCTAATGTTATGTCACTATGATTTCCAGCATCCCCCTCTTATCTACCAGTACATACCTGCAGTTTTAATTCTGCAGAGTAGTTATGCTGCTATTAGTCACTAAGACTTAATTCTATTTGGGCCCCACGATAAGGTGAATTCAGACAGAAGATGATTGGTGAAAGCTGGGCACTGTGGCTCACACCTGTAATCCCAGCACTTAGGGAGGCCAAGGCAGGCAGATCACCTGAGGTCAGGAATTCAAGACCAGCCTGGTCAGCATAGGGAAACCCCACCTTTATTAAAAGAACAAAAATTAGCCAGGAGTGGTGGTATGTACCACCAACCCCAACTACTGTGGAGGCTGAGATAGAAGAATCACTTGAACTCAAGAGGCAGAGGTTGCAGTTAGCTGAGATTGAGCACTGTACTCCAGCCTGGGTGACAGAGTGAGATGGAGAAAAAAAAAGATGACTGGTGATTCGCTCCCACCCTCTGCAGCAGATCCCACCCAATCATTTCATAAACCTACCAATAATGCAATCCTTCCTTTCATTTGACTGGTTTACCACACTATATTCTCTCTGCCCTTTGACATTGGTTCTGCTTTCAAGATAACCTGTGTTTGTGCAAACACAACTTAGGAAGCTGCTTTGACTGCTTTTCTGATTCATCTTTTCTTTCATAGTTTATCAATATGCTTTTTCTTTGAATAGCCACAATCCCACTATCCTCAGAGGCATTTTACAATTCTATTTCAGGTATGATTCACCTATATCTTTCCTCAGCTGATTGCTACTAACTACTCCTCAAGATCCGCCATTGCTTTTCTTTCATACTTGTGGTTTAAAGATTTCAGACAAAACAAACACTTTAGTAAAACAAACTAAAAACTTAGTAGTAATTAACTTCATTCATATTTGGGCAGATATATGATACTCCAAAAAGATACATACAGTAATTTACTTAACTATATCCCCATTATGGAAAACTGAATTTTTTTTTACATTTTAACAATGATAGGAAATGATATAATGAACAAATCTGTAACATTTTTCTAAATCTCTTTCTGTTTTTGAATGATTTCCTCAGGATAAATTCCCAGAAGATTGAGATAAAAGGATAGAAATATCCGTACGATTCATTACTTATTTAATAAAAGATTAAAACCACTTTCCAAAACTTCAATTTATAATGTCAATCAACAGGGTATAAAAATAGCAGTTTTAGCCGGGCGTGGTGGTTCATGCCTGTAATCCCAGCTCTTTGGGATGCCAAGGCAGGCAGATCACCTGAGCTCGGAGCAGTCTGGGCAACATGTTAAAACCCTGTTTCCACTAAAAATACAAAAATTAGCCAGGTGTGGTGGTGGGTACCTGTAGTCCCAGCTACCTGGGAGGCTGAGGCACAAGAATCACTTGAACCCAGGAAGCAGAAGTTACAGTGAGCCAAGATCGTGCCACTGCACTCCTGTCTGGGCAAGAGAGTGAGACTCTGTCTTAAAAAATAAAAATAAAAACAGCAGTGTCGAAGGAAACATAAATGGGTTTATCAACTGCTACTGGTACCCCATTCATTTACTTTTCATTGACTTTATTTCTTACACAGAAAGAATATTTTCTGTAAGTCTATTTGCTATCTGTATCTCCTGGTGTGTTAATCAGAATCTATTCGGCAACTCTTTTCATGAATGTAATTTTCACTGTATTATCCATAATAAACACATAGTCTTTGTTAAAAGTAATCTCAAATGGTTTAAGACAGAGAAAAAAATAAAAATTAGTAACTTCTCA